GAAAAACTCGATTTGAAATGCTTTAAATGGCTGAACCTCGAGTGTAAATCACTTCGACCCATAAACTAAACCGCAAATAGTAAAAACGCAAATAAATATTGTGAGGAAATACAACATTTTGCACTTTGAAGATAGTTTTGTTGTTTAATTGCCAAGCCCTAAAGCCGTTCATCTCTGCACCGGAAACCGTGGCATACACATATGAATATGTACATAGATTCATACGAGTATGTACACATATATCTATATATTATGTTGATATGCTCATTGCCACCATTAGCCAGCCCTGCCTTAAAAATTCAAATGAGCCTCGAAGGTTGCTGTCCAAAGACAACGGCCCATTAATTTATGCTCAGCATAATTCACACTCGATTGCGTTTTTAAATAAATTTAAATTTTAGTCGCCATAATATGACGACGGACGACGACTTCTGCATTACTTCTGATGTGCAGGCAGGCGTGATGATTGCCAAGGAAGGCTTTGCGCTTCATTGCAGACGCAACACGAACCAACTTCTCACTATAGTCGTCGGCCCAAGGGTGTGTTTCGGAGGGGGGTGAAGGGTTAGTTCTTAAATAGAGCTTCTTGAATTGTTGTAATTAACAAAAGATTTGTTATTTTTACCGATCATTCCTATGGCGCACGGCTATATGATAAAGTCAACCGATTTCAATTCGTTCATGCGCCTTGAGTAGTGACATCTTACAAGGAAGATTACATGAATTTTGAATTTTTCTAATCTTACATGGAGCTTAGAAATTAAGTTGTGGATTAAGAACTTTGAAAATAATAGAGATTGAAATTAAAAGTTATCCGCAAGACTCTAGTTGACCCGGAATGGAAGGTGAAGCGGGTGGAGTCTTTTGAGACATCTCAGATTTATTTCAACTTGTTTGGTTTTAAGATAGATTTCTGTACTGATTTTTCCTATTGCTATTCCTATATAGCGATTTACAAATTTGAGTACAACATTAAGGAAAATCTAGTTTGCAATAAACTTGGTCTAAGAATTAGAAAAGTCCGCAAACCAAGTTTTGTGTAATTAAGGAAATGGTTATATCTTCTTATGGTGATCAAGAATATACGTGACATACTTAGTATACCTTTAAGAGATAAAGAGTGTACATAAATGCCAACATGATATTTTTCTACATACTATATTTAACAAAGCCAGCCCTTACAGAATCAGCATTGAGGCTGATTTCGAATATATTTTGTATTGCTGGAGATATGGTTAAGAAATGTTGTTATGCGGATTAATTGCTAATGGATCAAATTGTTCGTTTTCTTGCGCATATTTAGTTAATAGTTGTTCATTTTTTTCATCAACTCTCTAAATTTTGACAAATTTTTTAATTTTCAAATCACTATCGCAAAATTATAATTGGGCTCTACGTGAAATGTGATTTCATAAGATGACTAAATACGACTAATTTCCTGGATTAAAATAGAAATAAGGTAATAAAAACCAAATTAACAAAACGATCTTCAATAAGTGGTGAGTGACATAAACGACTAAGTTGGCTGCCTTGCCAAATTAAATGTGGTTGCAAAGTGAGTTTTGGCTTTCTCCAGTTTATATTTTTGCAATCATTTATTAAGATTTTAAAAATAGTTTCTTGTTTGCCCCACAATGCTTGTATGTTGGTAAGAAGCGGTCACACAATCAGCTGACACGGTTCGAGAATATTTTTTGAGATAACTCTTCAGACTTCCCAGTTCGGGTTGGCAGAGAGGTGAAGTCGAGGCACGTATTATTAATTAGCACACGCCTGTATTTTATGTTGTAATCTCGGAAGCCAAATACACGAAATGTAAGTTTAAAACACAACTAACGTAGGTTTGTTTGCCCTGAAAACTCGCACGTCAGTCGTTATAGTTGGTATGCGAAACGGGCCTGGCCGAGAGATAAAGAACGCGGCTGCCTTTCAAGTGGGAAATACGTACACTTGACACTTTTTCGCGTGGGAGGAGTACGCAATTAAACTTTAAATTAAGCCCCATTGTCAGCTCGTAAAGCGACTCATGAATGGGCTGCAAAAAATGTTTTATTTGCTGTACATTTTCGCACTTTCAAACCTGAACTTGACGTCATTTCAGCCTCCAATATGCTATGAACACAAGTATATAAATATACATATGTATATTATGTCTAAAATAACAATAACAGCAATAACAATAACAACTGTAATAAAGCCACTAATCAACAACAACAACAACAACAAACAAATGTGTATCTGATTTTAAATTCAAATTTTGTTGTCAACGCTTTGGAATCATAAAACGAGTTCAAAGCTTAGAGTTTGTTTGGATAGTGTTGGCTCGTTTTAAGCGCTTCCTTTAGTTTCGCTCAATTTATTGCTTCGAATTTGCAAATCTGGCCCTCTGTGCTGCCAATAATACGAACCGAAAACTATTTGAATTCTCGCTAATCTATTACTTCCTGCTTTAAAAACTTCTCCTGCCAATTTTTGGCCACACTTTGAAAAAAAGCTTATTCAGTTGTCAAATATTATTTGTATATTAATTATATAAGTATATATTAAGAGGATTCAAAGTGTGCTAAGCTTTGGAATCATAAGTGTTGATGTGCGTTTCTTTGTATACCCTGTATCCAAATGATAAAAGGTGTATAAAAGGTTGTGCAGAGTAATTTTATAAAAGCCAGAAGGAAGCACTTCTTTACCAAATTTTGTCAATGTTGGCTCGGCCATTTCCAAAATTCAAGCGTTCATCCAGACAAACAGACTCACGGAAATAAGAATACTTGCATTAGTACCTATTTACTTTATGGGGTCGGAGGAGGCCCTTAGGATATACTTAGCATATAAAAAGAGATTCCTTAGCCAGTCCTTTGGCGGCATTTACCAAAATTGTGGGAGATATTCTTTAAGTGTAGCTCGAACTATATCCCCTAAGTTCCTTCAGAGTCGCGGCGTCTCATCAATAACCGTCGCGTCGGCGAAAAAATGGAGATAATAATAAAAGGCAGAACTTCGGGCAGCGCCACCAAAGTTGCAGCAATGGCGGAAAAGTGCAGCAGAAAACTGAAGTCGCTGTAATACTTGTAGTTGTTGCTGCTGCTGTCATTGTTGTTGTTGTTGCTGCTGCATGTCTGTCTAGTCAAAGTGACGCCAGGGCGCTTATAAATTTACGGAAGGCAACAAATTTTCCGCCATTCAAAGACGAAACCTGGCGCTGGCAGTCACGCCCCAAAGCTTTGGCTTTGGCTTTGACTTCAACTCCGACTACGACTGCGACTGCGACTGCGAGTTCGCGTCAATTTGTCGTCGGAAATGCATTATTGTGGCGAATGTTGGAATGTCTGCCACTTGCATGCGAATTGCTCACAAATCTTGTCCCTTGACGACCTTGAAGAAGAGGCCAGAAGTGGGAAGCAGAAACAGGCTACAAGCAGGCTACAGGCTATAGCCTCCACGCACTTTGTTGTGAGCCGCAACAACTTGACGCAGCTCCTGCAACCTGTTCCCACACCACACACACACACACACACACACACACACACACACACACGGAGTATCCATTAACAGGCAAACAAGTTCTGGCAGTCAAGTTAACTCCTTGTATCTCAGATTTCTTACAACGCAAACTTTTAGTTGCTTTCGTTTTGTAGGTACAAGTACTTTACTTTGTTTTCAAAACTCAGTTTGTAAGTAAATACTCGTACAAGAGCTGCGGTTTTTCTCGATTTTTGAAACTTTTTGAAATTTATATTTGTTTGTTGCGTTCTTAACTTGCCACAGTCGAAGCTTTCTACTCGACGAAGAGGAAATCCATTGCATCGTAGTAATCGTCAAATAATTATATTTTAAAACAATAAATCTTTCAATTATTTGGGAAAGTTCAGAGTAAGTAATTTTTTCTTTTCCTATTTTTTCTTTTTTTATTCAAATTAATTTTTTTTTGCTATTTATTTTATGAACATTTAAAAAAAATGGCTAACATTGAATTTTATTCAACTTTTACTTTATTTTATGATATTAGTTCGAAGGATTGTTCTACGATAGATTTTACTTTTACGAAATCTATAATGGTTCTTTAGGTTCTGACAAGGTTCCCAAAAGCTCATAAGAAACACAGTAAATTGTAGGCAAAATATGAGTTTCTTTCAAAAATAGACAATTGCCAAAGGAACTGAAGTGGAATTGTTTTCCAATTTTATAAACAAATGTAAATTCAAAATATAGATTTGTTTGAAAATTAAGTTTTTTCTAGTCGTAGTTTCATGCATTCAATACGAAACCCAGTTTAAAAAAAAACATTGACATTTTTTTCAAAAAATGAACTCTGTTTAAATAATTTGAAAAAAATTTTTTTGAACAAATTATTAATTTCTTGTGAACTATTAAGTTTTTTGTTTGGTTTTTTCATTTTTGTAAAAATAAGATAAGAATAAAGATTTTCAAACTTTTCTGTAAATTATAAAATGTTTTTTTTAAATAATTAACGTTTTGTATAAATATGCAATCGAGTTTGTGTAAACATCATTGTAATTTCACAATAACAATAATTTTATAATATTCCATAAACTACTTATTTAAAAATGGATTGAGCTCAAAAAATTATAGATTTTCCTAAAGTTCATAAAAAAGATCAAAGTGGATCCATTAATTAAATTAAACTCAGTAAAATTCACACAAGAGAGAGAAGAAGTAAACCATTAGGAACCTTTTCCCTTTATCATCATATTGGGGCCTTTGCAACATGTCCTTTTAGCCACATCGTTTTTACCCAAGAACACATTTGCTCAACTAAAATACATATAAAGTAATGCTACTTAAATAGTCGTTCGCTATCATTAATTTCAACAGATAGTTTCAGATTTCCAGAGCAACGATAAACAATCAGTCAACCAAAGCACTCTTAAATGCCAACCGCTTAAGACGAATTTATTTATAAAATCTTCAGCGTTTCACATGAAAATTGGTCAAGTAGTTGCAGGGAGAGGGAGAGAGTTGAAATGGAATTGGAGGCTTACCTGAAAGATCATATATCCCGAATCGTACATCCAGAAGTCCTCGGGTGTGTGGCCCGGCTTGGTCAGCTGTATGGCCAGACAGTGTTGCAGTATGAGGCGGCAGCGCTGAGGACCACCGGGGGACTTGGTACCCATGTCGATGATGGCTAAGAAGAATTGCTAAAAATAACTAAAGACGCGAACTGGTACTGTGTGATCCAACTGGGACTTTGTCGAGGCGGCGACTTCGGCTGCGTTCCTCTGTTCGTCTGTTCGTTAGTTGTTGTTGTTGTTTTTATTTCAAAGGTCCATTACAGCGTCACTTTTAATGGCCAAGATCTGCGCAAAAGCCCGTTGGCAAAAAAAAAACAACGCACAGACACAACACACACGAACACAGCATAGGCAACAACGATAAGAAAAGAACGAAACTCGCATTGAATTCTGTTGCTGCTGTTGTTGTTGCTACATTTTGTTTTCGCCGTTTTCGCACACTTTTATTTTTACTTTGTTGCCTCTCGTTGCTTTATGGCTTTTATGTTGAACTGGCTTTTATGGCCAACATTGACTTGCTTTGAACTTTGGCTCCCACTTTGTGGCCAATGGCTGTTGTTGTTATGTTCCGAAGGATGATCAGCGCAAGAAGCCAAAACCGAGCAAATCGACGAAAGCGACGCACGCGCAGCAGCTTTTATAGCCAACGACAATCGATGGAACCGTTACCGTTACGTTACCGTTGCGAATGCGCTAACTCGTACATCACACGCCGAGCGACAAACACCAACTGAGCGCGCGCAACCGAACTGTGTTCGAGCTCAGCTCAAGACCCGAACGCGCGCACTCTTCCTCTCGCTGTCTGCTTTGTAGAGTTTGCTCGTGCAGTGTGGAGTAGTTGTGGAGACTATTGTGTGACTGCTGAAATGACAAAAACGTTGAGAGAGGCGCATTAAAAAACCTTGATTATAAAATAAAATGAGTTGCTCACAAAAAAGACGCACCAAAATATTAAAAAATAAAAGCAAACAGTTGAGCTCTTTAGCTGTCGTCGAGCTGTCTAATATTTCGCATATGTATGTGATGTACATATACATACATATCTACAGATCAGTCAACTCTGCCACTGTTGTTGGGCCATAAAAAAATCATTGGGCCATCTTATCAAGTCACCAAAAACAAAAAACGCACGAAGATGCCAACAAAAATGGAGTTGCACGAACGACAAAAGTAGCTTAAAATAGCCAAGTTTTGTTGGCAATAAAAAGCCAACAATTTTTCACTTAAAATTTCTAGAAAACAAAATGTTAAATCAAGAAACCTTTTTGATTTGGAAATTGTAGCTCATAAGTGGTTATTTTTGTTAAGGACAACTTTCAGAAACCACAAATATTATATTCTAAGCGGCACATTATTAAAAAAAAAATATTCAAGACCTAAAAAATGCCTTCTCATTATAAACATTGTTGCGATTATGAAAACAACAAGTTTCGCAACAAATTGTATTGGTTTAGTGGTCGCACCGAACAACTTGTTTCTATACATATTCAAAGTTTTACGCACAGCTTGTTGCCAAACATTCTTATTGTAGCCAGAGCTTGTTGCCAAAAAGCTACTGCCAGCTACTGATTTCTGGCGGGAAATGGCTCAGTTTACAGCACTGATTATCTTGTATTTGTGTGTGTTTCAACAATTTGTCGCTCCGAAATGTTTAGTAACTGTTTTTTGTATTGTTTGTTTTGTTCGGTTTGGCTTACAGCTGCCGCTTCTTCTTCCGCTTCTTCGCATTATGCTGTTGTGATACACATTACAGATTGTTGTGCAGAAATTGGTAGCTGGTGGTTGGCGGCTTTGTGGAAAAACCACAAATAACACGTAGCTGTGCCAAATTTAATATCACATACTTTTTCAATCTCACAGCTGAAAAGTTTTTGTCGAGAGACGGGGCCAATAGAGATGCTGATACTGCTACTGCTGACATTTGTTTGTTTTGGCCCATTTCCTGTTCAAATCGCCGGATGCTTTCAATGATGACTATAAATGGGTTAATGAAAAACTTGCGCGCAAGCTTAAGTGTTTCCATTTGGCTGTGGTTGGATCTGATGCTCTCCAGATACAAAATACAAATACAATAATTCTGCGGCAAATTTGGCTTGCAAGGAAATGCCAAATAATTTGCATTAATTGCGCATACGCCATGTATGACCAGCAGCTGCGAATGTCAGTCAATCAGAGTGAGTTCTAAACTGCATCTAATACTACCTTTTCCGTATCGCAATTGTCAATACAGTAATAATAATTTAATTACAACTAATCAGCCGTCATATAGAGAGGCAGATCGACAGACGGACGGACGAATATCGGGCTGCGTCAGCAAAGCAAATTACACTTCGCAATTTCAATAACAATTACAATAACAATTTTATGCGAGTCGAGGAGACGCGCGTTTCACCCGCTTATCTGTATCGCTCCTCTAGTCGCATATTCGTCTTCCCAATACGCTCAGTACGCGCGCCACAAACGTAGAAACCTCAAAGGTAGTCTGTCGATTACACTGTGCAACAAATCTTCTCTTTCCTACCCTGCATGCGAAGGGTGAAAGGGTGTATTGGAAATTCGAAATGTTAAATCTATGTAATAGGTACACATATGATCAGCGTGAAGAGACAAGTCGAGTGCGCCGTACAAACACACAGTTCGTCTGTATGAACCAGGATAACAATTGAACCGTAAAAGCTAGGGACACCATACTTGTAGTCTAGATTGTCTCAAGTTTTATGTTTTATTAATTGTTTTTTTTTCTTTCGATTTTGTTAATTTTTTTTTAATTTTATAAATATCCTACACATAGGTACAGACTATTTCAAAGTCTTTAGCTTTTCCTTTTATTGATTATAGGCCATGGTAACGACAATTAGTATTTTAAAGTGTTCTTTAGTGTCTTAACATAATCTGAAGTTTTATCTAAATTTATGGAAAATGTATAGGCCCATTTAGTGCAAACTCTCTCTTGTGTGTAGAGATATGTTAAGCAAATCTAATGGGTCTAAGTTATCTATTGAAAGTCATGATATTCTCAAGTTGAATCAAAATAGTAGCTCAATATATGGGAAATTGATTTCATTTGTTTTATAGCGCTGTATGTATACAGCTTCCTTAAGATCCCAAATTATATTCACTTTTGCAAACCATTCCGACGCCGTAGTTTCTTATTATTTCACTCAGCTCTTAACAGATAAGATGAAGCGGATCACTAAAGCTAGATTATGATAAATTTAACCCAGATTTTCTTGTCCTCTTATGTTGCATAGTGTTCTACAGTCGCTCCAAGACGCTGTCCACAGTTAGGTAAACGCAAAAAGTCAGAGCCAATTAAATTGCGATGATCTCATCGCCCACATTTTTTGGACATTGCCGGTTGGTCGGTCATTGGTGTTGTTCGGTTCTCAGATTTCTCGTAGTCCCTTGCGACTCTAAAACTTTTCACAGTTTCGGCAGATCAAGTGTCGTCGTCGCAGACAGCAACAGCAACAGCAAAAGCAAAAGCAACCGCATACCACAAGCCCTTGCCACCCGCCCGCTCAGGCCTTTTCATTTCTTTCTCTTATTTATTTATTATCTTTTTATTTGTCGACCCATTAGGTCGGGAGCTTTGTTGGCCCGAACGGCAGCAGAAACACGTTTGAATGCTGAACACCTCAAAATTTAGTTGCGTCTGTCAAAGAATTCGCCAGCGGGTTTCTGCCTCTACTGCCTCGTACCTTTGCGCGTTTGTGCCGCTGTTGTTTGTTTGTCAGACAAATCAAAAACATTATAAATTGGTGAAACCGAGCACAGCACCGAGCACTAAGGTGCTAAAATTTAAAAAACACAAACTCACATAAATTATTATTAACAATAAGCTAACTGTCCGTCTATCTGCATGAATGTCTCTCCATCTGTCTGCCCGTCTGTCTGTCTTCCTAAGCTCTAAGCCGGTGATATTTTGCATGACCCGCGGCCACCTTAACTCACATTTCGAATTTTGCTGGCAGCGTTACTCATACTTGAGCTTGTCAGTCCAACCTGTTCATACATACGTCATATTCACAAATTCAGTAACTCTCTATAGTTAGCTGCTGAGTCGTCATTAAATTCGCAAACTTTGCGCTGAAAAGTGTTCAGCTTCAACATGTCCTTCAGCAATTGTATGGGAAGAGACCTTGAACTGTTTTGCTTAGACCATTATTTATAGAACAGCCTGGAGCATTAAGTGTAGCTAGACAGGTACTTCATCGAAGCATTTTTTAATGAGGCAATCAGTGGCCGTCTCAAGGTTGTTCTGCAAAACTGATGCTGAAATAACATGCAACAACCTGCTTTAAGACAAATCATCTGCGATTACGAAAGATGTGGCAAACGGCAATCGAGTCCGCTCCAAAAATAGTTCAATTGCATGAAAAGATTGCATATATTTGAGTCATAATTTAATTCCAAGATCTGCATGAGCACTACTGAATTGAATTTTTTTCTAAATTAAATTTTTAAATATTAAAAACATATTTTTATTATTGTGGGTGTCGGTATTTAAGAGTTGAGCCCCCTTGAATCTAGCATTCCTTTCATGTTTTAAATTAAAATTCATACATAGTATCAATAAATATACAATTTCGATAAATATAAAAGATATCGATCAAACGAAATGCATCCTAACATAGAGTGGAAAAAAATATAAAACGTGTCTTTTTAGGAAAGAATAATAATTGACCAAAATTAAAAAAAAAATACTATGTATCCCATTAGTCTTGCCTGCCTACTATTTGCACTGTTCGGTGGTATTGGATCAATCAAAATGTGAAAACGATTTGTAAAAGGCAGACATTAGTTTTGTCAAATACCCTAACAAAACTATTCTGACAATATTAAAAATTTTTTGTTAGAATAACCATTAGAAAGCCTGAGTGGGAGCTTTTAAATTCAAAAGAAAACATAATTCATTATTGGATACATGAGCAAGAAGTCTTAAATGGTTAATGGTTGGAATTATTAAAACCTTAAGCAAAGTATTCACCTCTGCGAATTTTAAACAAACAGAGAGCTGTTTCAACTGTATTTCAACAGGTTGATCCTATTTTTAAGTTAGTTGGAATCCAACTGAATCAAATTCTTAATCAAGTCAATACTGTTAAAACTCAAGCTGCAAAATGAAAGAAATTGTACCAACATTCTTTAAAGATATATTATAGAATAAGGAATAAAGCAATATATTGTTATCGTTTATAAAAATACTCTATTTCTAATTGAAATTAAAACAAATAGTCTTCCAGTCTAATGATTTGGCATTCCAATTCCAAACGAATCATTCTAAATTTTACAAATGCTAATAAAAAAAAAGTGAAACCCAACAAATTTTTTTGTTTGTTCATTAATTAATTATTGACCGCAAGCTTTGGCCGTAACGCGACAGTTTGACATTATTTATAAGAGGATTGAAGAGTGCGAGTATTTTATTTGTAATTTCTATCGTGCTTATGGGATGATTCGAACTAGAGCCTAGGCCGGTACAAACTATTTTTAAAAATAAATATGAATTATGTCTACATCCACAAAAGTGCAATCCGCAAGAGGATGAGAGAGAAGGTTTGCATTGGAGAGGGGTGAAAAGCCACATGTCAGCTGAACATAAGTATACTTAACACCTACTAATAGATCCCAAGCAACTAAATAGGTTCCACACAAAAGACTACGAAATTAAAAAGGGGTCGGGGTCATTACAATATGACTCCTGTGTGTCTAAGCTTACAAGATTGTATAAGCTGCACTAACGTCTGGAGAGATCAGTTGTAAATGTGTTGTTTTGTAAAACTGATTGACATTCCATCAATATTAAAAACTTTTCTTAAAAGCTAAAATATGTTTCTCAGGAAAGGTGATAACAATAACTCCAATGGTTAGATAGATTGTTAGACCACAGAATGTATAGGAATTTAAATGTATATTATAGCGCGCATTAAATAGTTAATACTATATGTATTTATTACGATTTGTCCGTCATTCGCTGTACCATTAGTTTTGGCAATGCTTGAATTATATTGACAGCTCACTTTCAGTTGCGACATCTAGTTAGCGCAGATTTAAGATTGAAATAAAGCTACACGATCGCTGAATGAATAGCTTAATGAAGCACCAGCGCCGGCCAGCCAGCCAGCCAGTGGAAATCATTGGAAACAACAACAGCAACAACAGCAATAGCGACCGGCTAATGTCCCGAGTCCGCGCTGTGGTCAGCCAAAGATACGAATACGAATAGTACGAGTCTATATAGTATGTAGAGCTCTGTGCTTTATCCACCCGCAATTGCGCACGTCAAGACTTCCGTTGTTGCCGTTGCTGTTGCTGATGGTGTTGCTGTTGTTGCTGCCACCAGCAACGTCAGCGCTCCATATTTCTACTTTACGGTTCAACGGCAACATTTTATCGTCTGCGCAGGCGCCCCATCCATCCCATTCAGTCATTGAGGCAGGCAGTCAGGCAGTCGAGTGGTCAAGCCGTCCAGCGATCCAGCCATCCATACAGCAATTGCTGCAATGTGGCAAAGCAATCGATTTAAGCGCCGCCACCGCCGCATAAATTCAAGGCACCGACTTTTTAACTGCTTGCAGTGCAATACACCGAGAGAAACTGCATAGCTTGTTATTAACGTAAAATTTCGTGCAGGAACATTTAAATTGGAGATGGAGAATTTTAAAAAAGAACTTAGCCAAGAATTCTCGGTTATGATTACAAAAGTTAAAATGGGGTAATAATTAATTTTAATAATTAATTAGACTGAAAAATTAAAAAATGTATATAATTTTATTTTAAGGAACACGTTTTTGCATCTGAAGCTAACAACTATTTGAAGGACTGCATATCATTCGGAAATATGGTTATCGTTAGTTAGGCACGTAAGGTGTCTATAATATAATTTTCTCTCAGTGTATTTGCTGCTGCTGCTGCTGCTGCTAGTCGTTGCCAAAGGTTCCTCCATGAACAACATGATGAATTGTTTTCTTTGTGCAACTCCAACTGAAACTGCAACTGCAACGAGCGCGGCCGTTGTCGAGTTGTCGACCGCACTTCACGGATCTCTCGGAGTGGCCTGCTCGCTGCTGATGTGAATGATGAAGTAGGAAAGCAAAAAATACAAAAACAACAACAACACCAACAGAAAGATTGCAAATTGTATCAAAAATTTAAATTTTCGCTTTCATTATGCGGCGGCGGTGGCGGCGGCGTCGGCTGACAGTGTTGGATTCGCGCAATCCAAACCAATCCAGAGTTGTGGGCCGCCTGCCTGCCTGCCACTCAACGACTCAGCGACGACGTCAGAGGCATTTGCTAATGGACTAACTGGCTGTTGTTGTTGTTGCTGTTGTTGCCATTGTTTTGCTTTATTTCTACGGCTTTTCCCTATTCAATTTTGACAGCGCGTTTTTCACAAATAATGAGCTGCTTTTGTTCGCGCACTGATAAAAAAAACTTCAAGCTAAAGAGCTGAAGCGCCAACGCCAATATTGTTGCTGCTGCTGCTGCTGCTGTTGTTGTAGTTGTTGTTGCTGCTGCTGCTGTTACCACCATTGGCGGCATTATAATTTATAGTTTGACCATAAACGAATAGAAAATGGCAATGGCCAAGCATCATTAGTTACAAAGTTTCACCTAATACTCTTTTTTTTTCTTGTTCTTATTTCGAAATTCAGTTTGATTCGTGAAACAAATACTATTTTGCTTCGAATATAAAATTAGAGAATTCCTTTTCTACATTACAGTGAATTGTTTAAACATGAACCCAAAATTAATTGGAATTACATTAAATATGTCTAAATCATCGATTGACCCTTTCTGCGAAAGGTGTATTCTTTCTTTGGTTCGCACAAGTTGTCAGACAACCGACAATTTTTCAGAATTCAGAATTCTGACGGATTTAACAACATCCCCAAATTTGAACCCAATTAGAGCCAAACATTTGGGGTTCTTACATGACATTACTACTATTTTATTTATATAGATTATTTTATGCTATTTCTGAAAAAGCCGGTCCATCCAAATTTATTTCGTTTCTCATATTTGAGATTTTGTATGGGCAATTTTTTTTTATAATTTTCTTAATAGTTTCTTAATGTCGAAAAGAAAAGCATTCTTCTATTCGTCACACGGGGCGTATGCGCAATATCGCCGTCGGATTACGCGACTGCACAAAAATTGAGGCTTCATTTGCATACATTTTTTTCTTACCGCTCTTGTCGCATTGCAATTAATTAAATGCAAAAAAATTGCAAAGAAACGAAAAGGAAAAATGTGATGAAAAACTAGCAGGCGCGCATGGAAAAGTTAAATCACCAACTGTGGGGGGAAAAACACCAATGAGTGATTGAGTGAGTGAGTGAGTGAGTAAGGTAGGGAGTGAGTGAGCGAGAGACAGAGAGGAACACAGAGCTCAGAAATACCAGAGATGCCACGAAATGCGATGCCACGCCATGCCTTATGGTTTGGTCCGACGAAGATTTTGCGGCAGACAACAACAACGACCACAGTGGGAACAACAACAACATTGACTATTGATGACGATAACAACAATGAGTTGCTTTTTCCATACTCTGCAAAGAGACATATTAAAATTCTTATGCTTGGCGTCTCCAGAGAATACAAATCAAATATTTCAAATTTCACAAAAAACTGTTGCTTAAAATGAAATTAAGTCTCTACAGATGAAATTTCCCCCTCTTATGGGGAAGAAATAAAAGTTGTGGCATAAAATGCAATGCGTTTGGAGTCATCCAAACGTTTATTTAATTGATTAATAATTTTTGATTATTTCGTTACTTCCCAGTGGGATTTATAAACATATGTTATGTCTTAACTTGACTCCTCCACAGAGACATTCGAGCCGAATTTGGACTCGCTATTCTATTTGTAAGTCGTCTCTTCCCTCTGATTACCATTAAACCAATGGCATTTTACGAGGTTTCTTATATTTATTTATTGCTATCAATCCATTAAGAAGCAAAGGTCCGAAATAGTTCCTCCTGTATTTTTGGTGTCAATTTAAAGGATCTATATCTATATATGAAAGAACATGCATGTTTCAACAAAAATGACAAGACGAGATGTAGCCAAGATCGTTTGAGAACCACATTAAAATCCCATTCCAAATTAAAAATCCCATAAGAAATTGTATTAATCTAATATAATATCTATATATAAGACGTATAAGAAAAATAATCATAATAATAGAGTATTTCTAGACGGACCGTACTTTTATTTCCTTTCTGTACAGATCTAATTATGTCCTAACTAAAGCTGTTTCCAACTTTCTTAAAACTAATTAACGCCTGTTAACATCTGGTGCCCACAAATCATCGCAGCACGTGGAGCTGACTGTGTGTTTAAAATCTGAATAAGCTTATGTTTAACCTAATATGTATTATAAGGCCAACTTGAGCTTATCACGATAAGAATTGGCAAAACGTTTTTCACAATAATTAGATTTAAAAGCCAAGTGCCCCATTCGACTCTGGTCTGTTTGCCAGTTCGGTGTGTCTCCGCAGAGTCTTACGTGTTTCAGTTATGACGGATCGTCTCTAATGTCGGTCGAAGAAAATAATGGTATACAGTACAAATAAATATAAACGAAAAGAAAAAACCAAATCAAAATTAAATACGAAGATAGCTCTAAAGGAGCTTACAAACACAGAAAAAATCGATAAGTTCATCTCAAAGTCTTAAAATCTGAAAAGAGAACAGGTTTAGTATAGTTCCATACTATGTATATATCGACATTTTTGTTGAGATGAATCAATATGTACTAATATTTGCTTGATGGAGTATTATCGTTTCGTAATTTCTATTGAAACTGAGAATGAAAACGCATCCGAAATGGGTTAAGTTTGCGGCATATCTAATCTTCTTTTAAGATTGTTTTTAAAATATTGAGACCAGTAAAACCGAGTATATCTATATTCTAAAACAATCGATTAGTGACAGCGTAAGAGATTATTTTTAATTTATCGAAAAACACTGTGAAAAACACATCAGAGAGAGATGATGGAGAGATGATGCAGAGCTGATGGAGATATGTTAAGATTACTAAGAAACCTTTCCGGAGAATAACACCTCCTTGTGCGTCTTTATAGGTCCAGTGTTGGGCATTAGACATCTGCAGGCGTTACTCATATTTCTGGGTATAGCTTCTCTCTACATGCAACGCCACAACGTGGGTATTTCGATTGTTGCTATGACCAACGCAAATGCGACGAATACAGATTTTCCGGTAAGTCGGAGCAGGGTAATTCTGTAATCCTTTGCTTAAGAAATCTTTTAATGCAGGAATTCGCATGGTCAGAAAAGCAGCAGGCATTAGTATTGTCGAGCTTCTATTGGGGCTATATATTGACAAGATATTTGGGGGAGTACTTTAGCAGATTATTTGGAGTAAAGCGCGTTATGTTTTGGAGCGCTATGGGATCCGCAGTCCTGAGTTTGGCAACGGCCTTCTGCGTCAAATTGGGCGATGGATGGACGTCTTATTGTGCGGTACGTTTCCTACAGGGTCTCTTCCAAGCGCTGACTGCTGATTGTGTTGATCAGCATTTGGTGCGCTGGTGTCCGAGTAAGGAGCATAGTCGACTCAGCGCATTGAGCTACACCGGCGCGGAGTTCGGCAGTGTGCTGGCCATGCTTATTAGTGGCATAGTGGCGAGAAGTTCTTGGGGCTGGCCGGGCATATCGTATGTGGCGGCAGGGTTTGGCTTTGTGTGGTGCCTGCTGTGGTTTGTCTTCTCCACCAACTATCCAAAGCAGTCGCGCTTTATTGGCCAACCAGAGCTCGAGTATATAGAATCCACTAGGGATGTTGAGGGGGAGGGAACGCCCACGCCTTGGCGCACCATTCTGATGTCGAGTGCGGTCTGGGGCTTAATTTTGGGTCGCTGCACCATCAAATGGGGTCTGAGCACGCTGCAGGCTCTACTCCCTTCCTATATGGTTGGCGTGCTTCAACTGGACATGCTGAGCATCGCCCTTTACTCGGCTCTACCCTTCCTCGCCATGTGGAGCATGGTCTATGTCTATATGGTGATCGCCGATTTTGTACTGGAAAGGAAGTGGCTTAACCCGAAAACCCTGCGCAGGCTACTCAACACCTCTGCCTCCTGGATATCCGCGTCCACGCTTCTCGCCATCGGCTTCGTGGATGGTGAGCAGACGGCCTCAGCCATTGTCCTGATGACCATCAGCGTGGGCGTGAATAGTGGCGCCATCATTGGCAGCACCATCGACAGCATGAATCTCTCGCCCAGCCATGCCAGCAGACTGATGAGCTTCGTCAACACAGCCGTCAGCACCGTACCCATCCTAACGCCACTCGTCTTCAGCGCCGTTCTCGATAGCAATGTGAGTAGCGCTGCCTCAACGAAGTGTATTGTTATCTCTTCATCTCTTCTTCTTTCTAGAATAATCGCTCGCAATGGCAAATTGTATTCTTGGTTGCATCGGTCATTCTTTTCATAGGTAATGGCCTCCTCTTGCTGAAAGGTTTATTTGACTTCGTGGCCACAAAAGTCAAGAAAAGGTTCGACGCTGCTGTGGATTTGAGTCTCAAAGTAGCTTAAAGGATATATCGGATGTCAGTTGATTTAGAATTACTCGAATCTCTTAAAGTTGTGAGGTAATATTATAAACAATGTCTGATTTGCGGCTAAACAATCAAATTTATAAAATACATTTTTTAAACTTATTTTGCCTTTAAATCTGCTCGTTGGAATATGTTTACGCCAATAACAATTGCTAATCTCTGAGAAGTGCTTTTAGGGTAGGAAGTAAAGGGTAAGATCGTACGCAAATAAATTTGTATGGCTGCAAAATAATAGACCCTGCCGAACTGGAACCCAGAAATAGTATAAAATAGAATATAAGAGACATCCGTAACATAAGTGCATTAGTTGCTCATGGGCCATAGGGAATCCTGTTAGATTAGGTTAGTAATGTTATTTCAGGTAATATTAAGTAATGTTTAATTACGTTGAGCATGGATAGTTAAGGTTAGCTGAGGTCAGCTAAGAATTCGTAGGCCTAGATTAGTAAGTAGACTAAGTAATGTCAGGTAAGACTAGGTATTGATAGGCTAGGCTAGCTCTGGTTGGTCGCTAAGGTCTGTTCAGTTAAGATATGATTGGAGAGCAAAGTTAGGTACAAAAACTCTACCAATTCTTCCTGAAATTGCAAAGAACGACCTTTTTTTAAATCAACACCAATGCCAGGAAGCTGCCGATAGGCTGGAAGATCGCTTCACCGCGAACGTCGTCTAAACAATATACAATACAACTTGTGACTATGTAGAGATACTAAATGCTGTCGATAATTTAAATTAGATATTGAGCCAAGTTATTAGTGATCAGACAACTTATATCATATAGTTGACATAGGAACAATAGTGTGGAAACCAAATTTGAAAAACTTTGTGGCAATTATAAAAGCCGCTTCACCTGACTATATAAACTATATAATAAGTTGCCATAAAAAGTACGAGTGCTCCTATATGCGGAAGGATATCTAAGCTTCGGCACTCCAAAACCAACAGAGATACTTTTTTTGTTGTTGTGTGTAGTGTTTTTTCCATGAAGTCATCTTCAATTTCAACATTCTTTTGGCAGTCTGCATATTTTGTCGTCGCCGTTTTTGTGGTCTTTGCTGGTCTTGGTTGGCAGCGTCATCAGGTTATCGTTGTTGTTGTTGTTGTTGCAGCTGCTGATTGTCGTTGCCTGTTCGCTTGATTGTTTGTCTCCGCATAGTTGGTACGAATGATCGGAAAGCAGGCAGGCAGGCAGGCAGGCAGGCAGGCAGCTCCAAATTGTTAGCGACCCACGCGTCGTATGCGTAATGCAAGTGGCTCGTTGTACTCATATATTTAAATAAAACGACTAACTGACTGACTGACTGACTGGCTACTTGACTGAATGGCATTGTTTGTCGCATAGTTTTCTGCCTGGCTAACCAATTGTTGGTGACGGCAAAATTCGGGAAGTTGTTATCAACATTTTGTTGTTTTATGTAGTTATTTATTTTGCTTTTCGTTGGCCAATGTCGTTGCCGTTGTTGTTCGATTGTTGCAATTGTTGCTAGTGTTTTTCTTAATATTTTGTAAACCGTTGGCAGCGTCAGGTAAAGTTGGCTCCTCCACTATATGTACTCGTATATGTATGTATATATTGCTTTATAGCCGATGTTGTTAGTCTCTGTGTGCAGAGTTTTGTCTTTTCCTTGTCTCGTTTGTCAGACATTTGACAGTTGTTTGTTATTTTTGCACGGCGACTTTTGTTGTTTATACTCGTAGTTGTTGTTGTTGCTGTTGCTGTCTATGTCATGTGTCTGTGCCATATTTTCATATCCCCTCCCTTCGCCCGCCCCTCTGCGCATATTGCCTAACAGCCACCAACCTCCCTCCCACCACATCAACATTTCGTATTTCAATTTTTGGACAGCAGTCAAATTTTTGATGCTTACTCGTAACGATACCATTGCTGTTGTTATTGCTGTTATTGTTGTTGTTGCAGTTACTGTTGTTGTTGTGCTGCATTTATTGCCATTTTTGTGGCAACGCTCAAAAATTGTTTGTCGAGGAAGTTAAAATTTGCATGGAAAAATGGAAATTAACAAGACCATTTGACTCTCCGACGACTCTCTGATTGTGTTCGGCTGCCCACCCAGCCCCCTTCTCGTTCCTTTGTTTGTTTGTTATGTTGCCTTGTGTTGTTGCTTTGTGTCCTGTTTGCAGGCATCTTTCAATAACATGTTTGACTAACTGAGCGACTGACTGACTGACTGACTTAGTTGGCTGTAGTTGGAGGTCTGTGATGTAATGCCAGCGACCGACAACGACTTTTCTTACGACATTTAATTCGATCGTGCACGCAACATTTGAAAACTTCAGGCTCACAAACTAACCGCATTGAAGTAATTAATATTTATTTAATATATGTTTGCGAAAAGCAACAACAATTTATTGATAAACACTGAGACAAGTTCAACGGGCGGCTAAATCGTGTGAGAGACAAGCACACGATATGAGCTTCAAAAACAGATTTCACTTCGCAAAAACACCAACAACAACAATAACGACAATGATGCAGTTTTTGTTGTTGTTGTATGTAGACATGCAGTATCAAGTGCCCTGTACGAGGGCTGATTAATAGCTTAACAGAACCAGCTCTGCCTCCATTGAATCAATTCGATTTTGGTTGCTTTTCAAGCAAAAAATTCGCCTTTGTATTTAGAGGTAAGCCATTTACTTGGACTTGAAAAGTTTTGCCTTCAAGCCACAAAATCGGCAATCCACACAATTTAATAAAATTTGAAAACGGGAACAGCCCTGATACCATTTCTTAGCCATGCTTAATATAATAATATTTTGCCTACTGTATCTTCTCTTTGTGGGATACACGATGAGTTCTCAAATCTTATGTTGTCGAGTACAATTAGAGAGTTCGAATTAGGGATGTAAGTTGAAGGGAATACATCGATGTTGATGTCCATCGATGTTTTTTTATAAAAAATCGTTGCATGGTCAATGCAAAACAAACAAAATCGATGCATCGATGTTTTAAAAAAAACTGTCCATAAAAAAAAGCTCATATTAGGGAGAAAATCAACAGAACATCTCTAAATCAAAAATGTTTATATATCAAAAGAGGCTGTCATAGTATTTTACTTAATGTTGTTTATAAATAATCGTAATGCTGAATGTTGATGAACTTGTATGGTTGCCTTCAAAATATACTTATTCTGTACAGTTTTAAAAACAAATCAATCCGACGTTTTGAAGCTACGAATTTTAAGCATATTAAGTGTGACATCATAAACGAATCTTAATAGAGATCAAATGCTTAACAATCTAAAATATACAAGTATATTACAAAATACACATTTTAATGAAAACATCAAACAAATAAACCACACCATTCCACCCAACAAAACATGAAAAGTGTGCGACGATGCATGGCAAGCAAACAAACAAATTCGAAAACATCGATGCACCTAGCTAAAAATACCGTCGATGCTTGATACATCGCTGTTTTTTTACACATCTAGTTCGAATGTTCTCTTCGGATTTTATCTATAGGGGTGATAACATCGATTAACCGAGCTAAAAATATCGTCGATGCTTGATACATCGATGTTATTTTACTTTCCTAATTTGAATGTTCTCTTGGGATTTTATCTATGAGGGTGATAAGGCTCTAGTGTTTATACCTGTAGCAGTCTGGCCCAGCCACTCAGCTGGCACATTTGTTGTTATAACGGGAGATATAAAACATATAGTTTCTTATTATAGAAGCCAGCAACTTACTGATCTGCCCTCGTCTCTGGCTTGGCAACTGCGCTGTGAAATCTCAGACAAGGAATATGAGTTAATATTTATTAAAACGAAACGCCGCTAACTGACAAAAACGACAACAACAACAACAACAACACACAAAAAATGAAGTTTTCCCACGTGACCTCGAAAGCAAACCTCACGTACAAGGCATAGGCAAGGATTTTGCCAGACTCCAGGAGGTAAGGGGCGGGCTGAAGGGAGGGGGATACGTGAAATTCAAGCCACTTATATAAATGCGCAACGAAATTTGTTGAATTTTTGTGCGCTCAGTCTATGTGTTTGTTGCATTTTAGCGGAAAGTGAAAATTGATGCATGTAGTGTAGTGTTGTTGTTGTTGTTGCTGCTGCGGCTGCTGCTGCTGGCTGTGAGACAAAGGAAGCGCCCGAGCCAATTTCCTTATGGATTTTAATATTTTTATAAGCAAGTCACGGCATATCGCTTACAAACTTTAATGAAAATGAAAACTATTTGAAGTAAATTCGATGCGAGCCGTGCATGCCTAATATTTCAAGTGATGGAGTGAGGGAAGGCCGGGGCAGGCAGGAGTGGGAGTCAAGTTAAATAACGTGACAGTCTTAGCAATGATCAGCTCAGATATGCCAGATATGATATGCCAGATAGTGCCACAGTTGTTTACACAAACGTATTTGTGCTTGGATCCATTCACTCGTCGCTCGTCGCCCGTTCACATTGAACTCCAAACGCGGCCATTAAGGCCTTTAGGCATTTTTTCTCAGAAAAACGCTCAACACACATAAATCAACAGACACATCATAATGGCAAATTTCAGTTTATTAATGTCAAATAGACGGACATGCTAACTAAATGAATGAATGACCAAATGACCGAATGAACGACCATTGCCAACCAAAAGCTATATCGCCAAAGTGATGTCATAATAGCCTGTCTGTCTGTCTGTCTGTCTGCCTGTCTGCCTGCCAATAACAATTTCTGTTAATATCAAAACCAATTTCTGAACCAAAACCAAACGAGCCGCACTCAGACGCTCGCAATGAGACGCGCCAAAAGTCAAATTAGTGCACGTTAAACACAAACCAAAGCAAATACGCCAAATGATGCACAGGCCTCGACTTCAGAGAGGGGGCAAGGGCAAGGAAGCTGGGAGCCGCCAGAAGAAGGAGTTCGACCAAAACGCAATGTCTAAACAGGCTTGGCAGCCAAATGAGAGGAAACTGGCACAGATGCGGGCATGGAGAGATAGAGAGAGGTCTGAC